ACGCCCGAGGTGATTGTGTGGAAACCTACCTATGGGCATTCCACCAGAGAGATCAGTCCCAGAGGGGCAGGTGCCACGGCCATTGCCAAGAGGCAGCAGTGCCAGGGCCTCTAGTCCTGCCCATGACTTGCCGCCTCCCCACCCCCCTGACACGCTTACATTGTTTTCCACTGGCTGATACCATGCCTTGGGCACTTCGGCTTCAGGGAGCTATTTTAAGAACTCACTCTTGAGTTTGTACAAGAATCTCAGGTTTGTTGACCAAATGATCCTCTAAGAGTCTTGTTTCACAGCTCAGAAAATGTCCCCGGCTCTTTCACTGCTCCGAGGCCACCACCACCACCAGAGGCCGGCCTCTGACCCCTGGTTCCGGTATAAGGCACAGCGTTCAAGCCTGGCTCCACTCACTAATTCTCAGAGTTAACATTCCTTCATCCTGTCGCTGACTCGGCCGCTGATGTCTGGTTCTGGTGGGAAGGGGTGGGAAGGTACATCTTGAAGCTCCTCCGAGTAGCTGGGCTGCTCTCTGGGGCATGTGGACTTGGACTGATAGTCAGAGACATGCTCTGAGGGTAGGAGGGGGGGCGGGGGGCGTATTAGCGTTGGCCAGTGGTCAGAAACTTTTGAACCCACAGCCCTTTTCCACAGAGGACAGATTCCGGTGCTCCTGTCACCTGCAGACAAGGAACCCCCACACTCATGTGGGCCCCGCTGTACATTCCCAGGAATGACTAACTGCTCCCGGCACCTGGTTGAGTGTCTGGAACTTGAATAGGGAATCAGGATGTGTTTGGTAAATGAAAAGTGTTTTTGCTTAAACCAGGGTTTCTTGGCCTTGACACCATGACCTGTTGGGCTGGGTCATAGAGGTTGGGTGATGGTTCTCCAGATCAGGGTCCCGAAGCCTCCTCACTAGTGACATTTGGGGTTGGATAATTCTTCGTTGGTGATGCTGTTCTGTACACTGCACAATGTTGAACAGCATCCCTGGCCTCTGCCCACCAGATGCCCCAGTAACATTCCCCACGTCCTGACGACCACAATGCCAAACGGCCCCCGGGTGAGAACAAGGGGCTTCACCAAGTGCCCATCTGTGTCATTATTTTTCTCTTTGACGGCAACTGTTACATTTGGGACTTACACATAAACAGTACAAAGAAGAAAACAAAGGCTGTCCATAATTCCACCACTCCATAACAGCCAGGGGGAACATTTAGATGGCATCCTTCCAGTCCTTTTTTCCTGTTCTTATATTAAAAGTATGACCACATTTTTACAAAGGTAATTATATAATGAAACAGAGAGGGAATTTAAATAGCATAAGGTAAATTCCGATTCCCAGCAGCAAAGCCTCATGAGGCACTCAGAGAGACATGAGTTGGGTGTGACTTGGACGCAGGTGGCGATGGCAGCACCGTGGGAAATGCTGTCCTGGCACCGCTGTCTCTCTCTTTACACATGCAGGGAGTCTGTACATACCTGT